GGTGCCCCAAACCTGCCCCTTTTAACGTTAAGTCTTCTGAGGATCCAAATAAACCCCAAATTTCTTCTGTTCCCTGGACTAAGGCCAAATTGTGAGCCATAGTCAAAGAGTTTCCTAAAATAACTTGTGGCTGCATAATTCCAATCTCTGCCTCTTCCTTCACTTAGCATTCTCTTCTTTCTGTGTCTTCTGTGTGTCTTACAGTGTGGGACACTTATCATTAAATTTAGGGCTCACTCAGATAATTCAGGTTGATCTCATCTCCAGATCCTTAATTACACTTGAAAAACCCTTTTTTCCAAATAAGGTCACATCCACAGATTCCAGGACATGGATATATCTTTTTTTTTTATTTTAACTATTTTTTTAATCAACATATAATGTATTATTTGTTTCACGGGTACAGATCTGTGATTCATTCTTTTTTTTAAAATTCCAGTAGAGTTAACATACAGTGTTATATTAGTTTCAGGTGTTCAATATAGTGATTCAACAAGTATAAGTAATATATACATTACTCAGTGCTCATCATAAATGTACTCCTAATCTCCCTCACCTATTTCACCCATCCCCCCACCCCACCTACCCTCTGGTAACCATCAGTTTGTTCTCTATAGTTAAGAGTCTGTTGGGGCGCCTGGGTGGCTCAGTTGGTTAAGCGACTGCCTTCGGCTCAGGTCATGATCCTGGAGTCCCGGGATCGAGTCCCACATCGGGCTTCCTGCTCAGCGGAGAGTCTGCTTCTCCCTCTGACCCTCTTTCCCTCTCGTGCTTTCTATCTCTCATTCTCTCTCTCTCTCTCAAATAAATAAATAAAATCTTTAAAAAAAAAAAAAGAGTCTGTTTTTGGGGGTGCCTGGATGGCTCAGTTGTTAAGCGTGTGCCTTTGGCTCAGGTTATGATCCCAGGGTCCTGGGATCAAGTCCCGCATCGGGCTCCCTGCTCGGCAGGAGGCCTGCTTCTCCCTCTCCCTCTCCCCCTGCTTGTGTTCCCTCTCTCGCTATCTCTCTCTCTCTGTCAAATAAATAAATAAAATCTTTAAAAAAAAATCTGTTTTTAGGGTTGTCTCTTTTCCTCTTTGTCCATTTGTTTTGTTTCTTAAATTCCACATGAGTGAAATCATATGGTATTTGTCTGTCTCTGAGTTATTTCCCTTAGCATTATATGCTCTAGATCCATCCATGTTGTTGCAAATGGCAACATTTCATTCTTTTTTATGGCTGAGTAATATTCCACTATAAATCTCATCTTCTTTATCCATTCATCTATCGATGGACACTGGGGCTGCTTCCATAATTTGGCTATTATAAATAATGCTGTAATAAACATAGTGGTGCATATCTCTTTGAATCAGTGTTTTAGTATTCTTTGGGTAAATACCTAGTAGTGGAATTACTAGATCATATGGTAATTTTTTTTTTTTTTTTGAGGAACCTCCACACTGTCATCCATAGTGGCTGTACCAGTCTGCATTCCCACCAACAGTGCATGAGAGTTCCTTTTGCTCCACATCCTCATCAACACTTGTTGCTTGTGTTTTCGATCTTAGCCATTCTTACAGGTGTGAAGTGATATGTACTTGTGGTTTTGATTTGCATTTCCCTGATGATTAGTAATGTTGAGCATCTTTTCATATGTCTGTGGCCACCATCTGCATGTCTTTTTTGGAGAAATATCTGTTCATGTTTTCTGCCCATTTTTTTTTTAAAGATTTTATTTATCTATTTGACAGAGAGAGACACAGCGAGAGAGGGAACACAAGCAGGGGGAGTGGGAGAGGGAGAAGCAGGCTCCCCGCCGAGCAGGGAGCCCGATGCAGGGCTTGAACCCAGGATCCTGGGACCATGATCTGAGCTGAAGGCAGACACTCAACAACTGAGCCACCCAGGTGCCCCTCTGCCCATTTTTAATTGGATTATTTTTTTGGTGTTGAGTTGTATAAGTTCTTTATATATTTTGGATACTATGCCTTTATTGGATATGTCATTTGCTAATATCTTCTCCATTTAGTAGGTTGTCGTTTAGTTTTGTTGATTGCTTCCTTTGCTGTGCAGAAGCTTTTTATTTTGATGTAGTACCAATAGTTTATTTTTGCTTTTGTTTCTCTTGCCTCAGGAGAGGTATCTAGAAAAATGTTGCTAGGGCCAATGTCAGAGAAATCACTGCCTGTGCTCTCTTCTAGGATTTTTATGGTTTCGGAAATCACATTTGGATCTTTAATCCATTTTGACTTTATTTTTGTGTATGGTATGAGAAAGCAGTCCAGTTTTTCCAACACCATTTGTCTTTTTCCCACGGCATATTCTTGCCTCCTTTGTCAAAGATTAATTGACCATATAATCACGGGTTTATTTCTGAGCTCTCTATTCTTTTTTTTTTTAAGATTTATTTATTTATTTTAAGATTGTATTTATTTATTTATTTATTCATTTGTTAGAGAGAGAGTGAACATAAGTGAGTGGAGGGGCAGAGGGGGAAGGAGAGAATCCCAAGCAGACTCCGTGCTGAGCACGGAGCCCAATGCAGGGCTCAATCTCACAACCCTGAGATCATGACCTGAGCCAAAACCAAGAGCTGGATGCTTAACCGAATGAGCCACCCAAGTGCCCCACGGCTCTCTATTCTGTTCCATTGATCTACGTGTCTATTTTTGTGCCCATACCATACTCTTTGGATTACTACAGCTTTGTAGTGTACCTTGAAATCTGAGATTTTGATACTTCTTCTTTTTGGAGATTGCTTTGGCATAGACATATCTTTTGGGGGGAGAGGGGCAGGGTATCACCATTCAACCCACTACAATCAATACAGAAGCAATTGTAATTATTTGTGTGGAAGATGATAAGAGCCTGGATTAGGATGGTGGCCTTGGAGACAAGTGGGTGGATTTGAAATGTATATTAGTAGTAGAGCATAGAACACTTAATGATGGCTTTAGAAGATGAGTTCAGGGATGAGGGATGGTGAATCAGTGTCCTGACATTTGGACTTAGGGCTATATAAACCAGGTCTGGGTTTCAAAAGACCCTCTCAGGCCATGTGGGGAATGGACTGGAGGGGAGAGACTAAGACCAGGGAGGAGTCTGAGGTTTGGGTCCAGGAGGAAAAGCACAAGTCTCGAGCCAGCCCAAGCCAAGAGAACAGAGAGAAGTGGAGAGAGCAGAGAATCAACATGTAGAAAGGATTGGATTATGGAATGACGGGCTGTACGGGAAAGAGGAAGAGAGGGAATGAGGACACCAACCCAGGGGTTGGCCCACCAGGAAGAAAGAATCTGTGAACTTGAAGACAGATCTCTTGATATTATCCAGTCAGAGGAGAAAAAAAGAAATAAGAATGAAAATACAGGGCACCTGGGTGGCTCAGATGGTTAAGCATCTGCCTTTGGCTCAGGTCATGATCCCAGGGTCCTTGGATTGAGTCCTGCTATGGGCTCCTTGCTCAGTAGGGAGCCTGCCTCTCCCTCTGCCTCTCTCTCTCTCTCTTTCTGTCTCTTATGAATAAATAAATAAAATCTTGAAAAAAAGAATGAAAATACATTTCTGAGGACCTAATGTACAGCATGGTGACTACAGTTAATAATTCAGTATTGTGGGGCGCCTGGGTGGCTCAGTCGGTTAAGCGTCTGCCTTCAGCTCAGGTCATGATCCCGGGGCCCTGGGATCAAGCCCCGAGTAGGGCTCTCTGCTCAGTAGTGAGCCTGCTTCTCCCTTTCTCCTTGTTCCTCCCCCCTGCCCATGCTCTCTCTCTCTCTCTCTGTCAAATAAATAAAGAAAATCTTTAAAAAAAAATCATGTTGTACACTTGAAATATATACAATCATAATTGTCAATTATTCCTCGATAACATTGGAAAAAGAAAAAGAGGAAGTCCACAGCCAAAAATCAGAATACTATTAATATGAATTGATTTTTGATGACATTAATAGGAAAATATATTGCATTTGGAGCCTTAAAAAAAAAAAAAAAAAGCAGTGGATAAGATCTCTCAGAAAGAGAAGGTGCTGGGTCTCTAAGAGGCACTGGTTTTCCAGGACCTGGGTGGATATCAGGATGATAGGAACATCCCCAAACATGGAAATCTGACTTGATGAGAGTGGGGGCTGTGGGGCAACAGGAGAGACTTTCAGAGGCTGCTGAGTATGTGGCTCAGGTCTGGAGACAACCAAGCACTGCAGACCTAGATCTAACTGCCAGGGTCCCAGGTTCAATCCTAACTCCTCCCCAGCCTCCCCTTCTTGGGGCCCCAGTGCAGTTGCAGGAAGTACTGCTTGAGGCTCAGCTTCCTCTCCGGGTGTTTTGGCACAGCCCAGCCACCCCCCTCACTCCCGGGGACCTTCCCACTTGGGGCACTGCAGCACTTTCACTTCCCTCAGGTGCCCAACCCCTGCCCCAGCATATGGGAGCACCGCGGTCTACACTTGTTGCCAAGAACAGGATGCAGACTCTGAGAGAGGGGCCGTGACAAGGTGCGCGGGGGGTGGGCGGCATAAGCAGAGAAAGGACCAACATGCAGAGAGAAGGGGCCAGAAACCCAGAGAGGGAGGAGATAGATGCAGGGGGGGCGGGGGCAGGCAGGGATGGACAGAGACCCAGAGAGAAGGGAAGAGAAACCCAGAAAAGGGAGGACGAGAGACTGAGGGCTGGGAAGGGGGGACAGAGAGGGATGCAGAGATGGCAGAGCTTAGCAGGCAGTGAGGTCAGAGTGTCTGTGAGGTCGGCTGCTGTCCAGGGCTGGCCTGGGGTCCTGGTGCCCAGAGTAGGTGAGTGCAAGGAGCTCAGGAGTCCCTATGGGAGTCCCATAAGGAGCCATGGAGACCTGGGAGGGACCACCCAGCGTGTCCTTGGTGCCCACAAATTCCAAGGCCCCTCAGGTACTGGTGTGTGTCCCACTGGGGCAGGTGAGGGAGGCAGGGGGTGGGCAGAGACAGACAAGAAAGCCACCTCGCCTGTAGAGGGCGGGGGTGGGGCTCCACCCCGGGGACTTCCTCTTTCTCTGTGTTCTTCCTTTCTCCCTCTCTGTCTCTCACGGCCTCTGTCTTTCTGCCTGTCTCCTCCGGGGCCAACACCTCTTCTGTTCTGTCCCTCCCACGGCTGCCCACCCGTCTAGGCGAAGATGTCGGCCCAGGACAGCTGCCTCAGCCTCATCAAGTACCTCCTCTTCGTTTTCAACCTCTTCTTCTTCGTGAGTTGCCACATGGCTGCCCAGCCCAGGCCCTGGCCCCTGCCCCTGCTGCAGCCACCTGACTTGATATATACCACCCCACCCCACCCCTGCCTTTGCCCACCGCCATGTTCCCATCTCCTCTGGCCAGGTCCTAGGCAGCCTTATCTTCTGCTTTGGCATCTGGATACTCATTGACAAGACCAGCTTCGTGTCCTTTGTAGGTGAGGGGGCCGGGGCCATTGGGGAGGGCCTGCTGGAGCAAATGTGACCTGGCCTTCCCCTGTGTGACATCCTGGGATCTCCACTGTCCCAGGGTCTGCTTCATAGCCTGCCACTGCTCTTAGCCTTGGGGTCTTCCTCTGGCAAATGAGTTGTGCATACGAATGATAATAAAAATGGTAATAGCCATTTCTCAGGCACTTCCTGCAGCTCATGCAGATGCTTATCAGATCCTCCCACAAACCTTCCCCTCTCTTGAGGTTCAGAGAGGGGATGTCACTTACTGGATGTCACACAGCAAGGAAGTAGAAGAGCAGATGAAACACCAATAATATTAGGAAAGTAATAATGGAATAATAGTCAAGATCCTAATGGTTCATATTTAATAAGTGTTTGCCCTGTATTGAGGACTGCATTGAACACATGCCTCCCATGTGTCCCTTAAAATAATCCTAGGGAGTAGATATCATCCTCCCCTAGCCCTCAGGGAGGTTTTAGTGACAGATCCAATGCCACAGACCAAATGATGGGACTGAAACTATTGGGGGTGAGGAGGAGAAGGAGGAGAGACTGAGAGCAAGAGGGAGAAACCGTGACTAGGGAGAAAGGGGGACAGAGATCCAGAGAGAAAACAGAGACCTAGAGAGACTCAGATGGGACAGAGTCCCAGACGGAGAAGAGAGAATCCCAGAAGGAGAGAAACAGACTCAACATGTGGCAGGGACAGACAGCCAGAGAAAGAGGCCCCCCAGAATATGCTCCCCAGTTGAGTGGCTGTGTGGATGGGGAATGGGGCTCCCTGGAGCTGTGCGCACAAGCCCAATGTCACTGCCTCTCACCTCCCCCAGGCTTGTCCTTCGTGCCCCTGCAGATCTGGTCCAAGGCCCTGGCCATCTCAGGAATTCTCACCATGGGCCTTGCCCTCCTGGGCTGTGTGGGGGCCCTGAAGGAGCTCCGGTGCCTCCTGGGCCTGGTGAGTGCCCTGCCTACATCCCCCCTCAAATAGAGCCCTGGCAGCTCTGCATCCTGGGAGGGGACCCAGTCTGAACTCTCCACTCTGCCCCCCAGTATTTTGGGATACTGCTGCTCCTGTTTGCCACGCAGATCACCCTGGGAATCCTCATCTCCACTCAGCGGATGCGGGTGAGCTTGGCTTCCCCCCCACACACTCCCCCCCCCCAAACGTATGGGGCGGTGGAGGGGGGAGAAACAAAAGCAGACACGGGCTGACATGGACAAAGGGAAAAAACAGTGACAGGCAGAGGAAGACAGTGAGAGTCAGAGACCCAGAGACAGACACACAGGTAGACAAGGAGAGTCAAAGGAAGATCACGACACGGACGGACGGAGACAGACATAGCAAGAGACACAGATCCAAAGGGAGACAGAAAAAAACAGGCGGAGAAACAGGAGAGACAGAGACCTAATGAGAGAGCGTGGGAGATAGCGGGGGAGCAGAAAGTCACGACAGAAACAGGCAGAGATTTTGAGGAACAGAGACATAGCCATTCAGTGAGAAATCGAGACCGACTTCAAGCCGCTCGGGGCACCCCCTGGGACTGAGAAAGCCCGGGAGGGCTGGACTGGGTAGGGGCAAAGGGGGGTGGGGAAGCGGGTGGGAATCCAGCCTCATTCTCCGCCTCTTAGCTGGAACGGAGGGTGAAGGACATCGTGATGGAGACAATCCAAAACTACCGCTCGCGCCCGGAGGAGTCGGCGGCGGAAGAGAGCTGGGACTACGTGCAGTTCCAGGTACGTGAGGCCCCCACCCACGCGGACGCGTATGCCACCCTCTAGCTCAGGAACTCTGACGAAGCCGGGGCCCGCAGCGCCAGGACCCCAAGGTAACGCTACCCCACCCACCCCACCTCCAGCCAGCCCAACGTGGCCCCGCCCCCGGAAGATAACGTAACAGACTCCGATGTGGCCTTTTCCCCCCAGCTGCCAGACCCTGGAGAGGCTCCGCTTTCTGCCCCGACAAGACTTCGCCCTCAGCCCCAAGGCCCTAGCGTAACCCCACTCCCTAATCCTTAGTGACTCTGGCCCTCACGGGACCCGGCCCACGTGAGACTCCATTCCCTGGTCCTTCACATGGCCCTGCCCTCCCATCCACCTGACCCCTACCTAAGGCTGAATTGCACTATCCACCCAATCTTCGGTGCGCAGCGCGATTCTGCAGCTCCTCCCACAGCCCCAGGTGGCCCGTGATTCGTCTCTCCCAACCCCATGTTCCCCTGATGTCCCCAAGCCTAGCCCACCGTCTCCCACCCTGAACCCACTGCTCCCCAACACGACCTCATACACATCACCCAGTCCCCTGAACCCGCAAATCATCTTGAATCCCTCCAGTCCCCGTCCCTCTGACTCTTGTCCCTCTATCAGCTGCGCTGCTGCGGCTGGAACTCTCCTCGGGACTGGTTCAATATCCCCAGCCTCATCAGCAACGAGTCGGAGGTGCATCGCGTGCCCTGCTCCTGCTATAATTCATCAGCGACCAATGACTCTGCAGTCTTCGATAAGCTCTCGTTCCCCCAGTTCAGCCGGCTCCGACCACTGGCGCGGCCCCGGCACAGTACAGACCTTTGCGTGGTTCCTGCAAACAGCAATATCTACAACGAGGTGCGGAGGGTTTGGAGCCCGCTAGAAAGCGGAGGGGAGGGCCCTGTGAGGTACCCCCTCACAGCGGTAGGGGCTTGCTCCCCAGGAGGCGGAACCGCCGGACAAGGGAAGGGTCTGCAGGGTGGGGCTACGAGAAAGCGGTACATCAGGAGGGGTGGGGCCCCCTAGAAGGGGCGTGATCTGTAGGGGCGGGGCCTAAAAGTACTGACTGAAAGGAGGCTGGGACCGCGCGAAGTGGAGAGACTATAGAGAACCCTGCTAACTAGGGATGCGGGGCGGTGCCTGAAGGAGGGGTGAGGGCTGGGCTGAGGAGAACAGTGGGCGCGGGCTTGAGGGCGAATCCCCGAAAGAACCCTACTTTTAACCTTTCCCCACATCCCCAGGGCTGCGCGCGGAGCCTCCAAAAGTGGTTGCACAACAACCTCATCTCCATAGTGGGCATTTGTCTGGGCGTCGGTCTACTTGAGGTAATTTGGTCCCGTCCCCACTCGCGATTGGCCGTACAATCCGTAGACGGCCCCGCCCCAAGCTGCGCGTCCTCCCATTCTCTGGGAAAGGTGCAGGCGTGCTAGAGCGTCAGCCAATCCAGGCTCTCCTGCCTCTCCACTTGACACGAGGGAGACCCACCCTCTGCGACCCCTGATTGGTTGCACGCAGGAAAGTAGGCGGTCTCCCCCGCCCTCGCGAAGTTCCCATTGGTCCTCTTTGGCGTTCCAGCCCCCTGCTCTTAGCCGCAATATCCCTCCCCTTTCCCCGCAGGTGAGTGTAGCGGGGCTGAGCCTTCTACTACTGCGCTGCGCGCTCCGCCGGGAACGCCAGCTTCAGGTGCCGGGCGCCTGTGGTTCGAGCCCCAGGTCTGGCCCGAGTGCTGATGGCGGCGGCGGGCGCTGTGGTGTACTGAGCAGCAGCGCGCGTAGCGGCGGTCTGTGGGGTGGCTGGGGCATGGCGGATGCCTGTCCCAACTGGGGGGACAAGTCCCCACAGGGCAAGCTGCCCATGGCCCTGGGGCCCTGGCCGCTTTGGGATCAAGACGAGGAACAACCTGAGACCAGGAGCGCGGGCGAGGAGGTGGAGGTCGAGGTGGAATTAGCGGCCGAGGCAGAGAAGGAGACAGATGAGCCTCCGGAATAAAGTACCCTGGGCTAGCTCCGGATCTCACTCCTTCCCAGGCTCTACACCTGCGCTAGACGCAGCTGGATACGCCCTACGCCACCCTATTCCCCTTCTTTCCATCTTCCCTCCTCCCCCCGCATCTTTGGTAACTTACCCCAAGCCCCCAAATTCCCATCCCTGACCCCATCTTTCTCAACCTGGCGGAGCTCCCCCTCTAGCCCCACCCTTCGCCGCCGCTCCCATGACCCCATCCCACCCAAATCTCCGCGCTTAATTTTCCTCCCCTGGCGCCACCCCTTTTTTCTTTTTTCTCTTCACCCTGGAGAGGCTCCGCTTTCTGCCCCGACAAGATTTCGCCCTCAGCCCCAAGGCCCTACCGTAACCCCACTCCCTAATCCTTAGTGACTCTGGCCCTCACGGGACCCGGCCCACGTGAGACTCCATTCCCTGGTCATTCACATGGCCCTGCCCTCCCATCCACCTGACCCCTACCTAAGGTTGAATTGCACTACCCACCCAATCTTCGGTGCGCAGCGCGATTCTGGAGCTCCTCCCACAGCCCCCGGAACCCCTCGGAACCCCCACCATCCCGACCCCCATCCGCCTAGCCGGCAGCCCGTGGACCTCTCTGACCAGGTCTCCTTTCTCTATAGCTCAGCTTCATGACGCTCTCGATATTCCTGTGCAGAAACCTGGATCAAGTCTACGACCGGCTCGCTCGGTACCGCTAGGCCCTGTCCCTTCAAGTGCCTAGGGGCTCCCCTGTGCTCTGTAAATATTTGTTCAATCCCCAGTTTGCCCCAACCATTGAGTCCTCCACCTCCTCATTTCCCCGGGGGACCCAGATGTCTGCCTGCCCAGCTGCTGTCACCTCTCCCGCGGGACCTGGGGCTTCCGGCCACCAGCTTCCTGCCCCCAAAGATACCTCATTTCCTAGCCTTATCTCTCGGCTTACCACCTCCCACAGGATTATTTTCGCCCAAACCCCAAATAAACCCCCTGCGTTTTGGTAAAATAGTTTTATCCTCTGTCAAAACACAAACCAACACACTTTGCGGGTGAGGGGAGGCAACACAGTATATAGCCCACGTCTTATTGAGAAGAGAGGATGACATTTAAAAGCCTCACCCCACAGCTTGCCCTAATACCCACTTATAAATATCTCTTGTTATATTAAAAAAAATATTTCCAGGGCCCACCTGGCTCTGCTCCTGCACAAAGGGTTAACCTTCAGTATTTGATCTCAAGGTCACAGGGTTGGGGGTGGTAAAGAGAGGCAGATTGGGAAGGGGGGGTGCTGAAAAACAGAGGGACAAACCAACATACTTTCTAAGGCCATCCAAAACATCCAGAACCGAGTTGGGGGAGGGCGCCTGTTAGAGACTGAGAAACCAGTGCTGTACCTCGGGGCTGTCTCACTCCCGTCCCCAGTCCCTGATGCTCTGGAGTGATCTGTCCTTTCAGCTACCACTGTGAGGTCCCAGTATCAGAACCCATCTTTTCAAGTCACCACCCAGCTTTTAAGGTCCTCTAACACGGAGCAGCCCCCTCCCCAAATGAGCATGAAGAAAGCTGGAGGTACTTCCTGGGAGGAGGGTATTCCGGGGGGTGAGCCACTTTTGGGGTCCCCTTTCAGTCCCTGACCAGGCGATAAATGTGGTGCTGGGCCCCCCGCTCACTGGTGGAGACCTCAAAGACGTAGGCGGTGCAGAGCAGCAGCTCCTGGGTGTCTCTGTTTGTCACCACCTGCCAAGGAGGCAAGAGAAAGGGTTTATGCAAAAAAGGAAGAGCAGAGACCACTGTGTCCTCCCCGAGGTACCATGGGATACCTAGGAAAGAGGTCCCTACCATATCACATTCCCGAGGTAGAGGGGATGCCTGACATGTCCGGTTCCCCATCCGAGCATTGGCAGTGAAGGGCCTCACGTCAGATGGCATATCAAAGTTAACCAAAGTAGGGGCGCCTGGGTGACTCAGTCAGTTAGGCGTCCAACTCTTGGTTTCGGCTCAGGTCATGATCTCATGGTCATGAGATCAAGCCCCACATTGGGCTCTGTGCTCAGTGCAGAGTCTACTTCAGATTCTCTCTCCCTTTCCGTCTCTCTTCAGCTCTCTCTCTCAAATAAAATCTATGAAGTTAACCAAAGTTAAAGGGGATCCCACCATATCATGTTCCCTGGGCTAAGGTTAGGTTCCCTATGAAGGAGGGTCCCCTAAACTGAGGATCCACCATGGGATGTCCTCCAAGTCAGTTTCCCCAGTGAGAGGGGGATCCCCCTAAATGAGAGTGCTGCGGAGTCCCCACCACATCAGTTTCCTGGGTAAAAGGGTCCCCTAAGCAAAGGCTCAACTGTGGGCTCCCCCATGTCAGTCCCCCAGGTGAAAGGGTCCCCGGGCCGAGGGGCTGTTGTGGGTACTCCCCACCACATCAGCTGCCCTGCTCGGCCCAGCCCCCAGGCCTCACCTGGAGGATGGTGAAGTTCTCCAGGACACTGTTCATCATATAGCGCTCGGGCAGCTGTCGCAGTTTGTGCAAGAAATTTACCAGGTACTCACACATGGGTGAGCGCAGCAGGCGGTACACAAACCTCCCATCCTCCAGCTGGGCACGCTCCGTCTGAACCGGGATGGGGGCGCAGAGTGGGGAGGACAGTGACCAAGAGGCACAGGGGTCGCCCCAGGCACTGTGTGCCTCCCCGATGCCACGCCCACTCCCCACTGCCATCATTCCCCCATCGCCCCATCCGTGGGACCTGGACCCATGGGTATCCAACTTGGGATCCCTGAGCCTGCAAACCAGGGAGCCCTCCAGCCTCTCAAAACTGTGCTCTGAACCCTCCTCCAAGACCTCTGAACTGCTCTGACCCCCAGGCCCTCAGATCCCCTCACACCCTCCAAAGACCCCCTCCACTAGGTCTCCAAACTCTGACTTCTGATTTCAAGACCCCTCAGGCCCTCAGCAATCCCTAAGTGTGACCCCTAAACCTCCTTGCCCTGCAGATTCCTCCATATCCATAAGAACCTTCTGAATCTTAGTGACTGTAAATCTCTGCACCACACATTACCTTTGAACCCTGAAAATAACCCCTACATGTGACTTGGGAACACAATATCAGCTCTAAGCCCATGTATTAATGAAATCCCCAAAGAAGATAGGATACTCCCCACCCCACCACACAGACACCCAAGTGCAAGAGCTGTTGTGGCTTTGGTCCCTTTAGTCTGCACCCCCAAAGTGGCAGGTGGCTGGGCGCTCACCTGCCCAGAGCTCCACCCCTCCAGCCTCACCTCCACCTTCTCCACCACCTGCTTGCCAAAGGAGCAGACCTTGGAGGAACAGGTGAGGGTCATGTGCTCCAGGCTCTCGTACTGGCTGCTCACTCCGTAGAAGCCACCGCCGCTGCCACCAGCCCCTACCTCCTCGCCACTTGGGCCCCAGTTCAAGTCCGCCTGGAGGATAGGGAGGCACAGGTAGGTTCATTATAAATGGTGGGGACTCTTCTCAAGTGGGAACTCTGCCCCATGGCCTGGTTTCCCCCAAAGCCCTGCAGTTGCCTACCTCTCCTCCTCTGTATTCAAAGCCCCATGTCTCCACGGGCCTGTTTCTGGAAAACACCCACCCTTCTATTAGTACTGGAGAAGGCTGGCTCCCTAAAATGGTCCTGACCCTCTCTCCCCAGCAAGAGCCCCCCCCCAACAATTCAACTTTCTTCTCCTGAAGCCCCCAACTCAAGGAGTTCAGCCCCTTCCAAGGCCCTGGTTACTAAGAAGGCAGTTTACTCCCTAGCAACCAGCGACTCCGCCCCCCTCCCCCAGGCCTTCATGATCCTGGTTGCTAAGGCAAGTGGCTACTCCCTAGCAAAGGGGCCTGCAGGGTCCTGGGGAAGCCTGACTCCTCTCCAGAACATTCTCCCCAGCTCTTTCAGCCAATCCTTGGAGGTCAGACCCCTCTAAGACCCCAGTGGCCAAGTGGGCAGACAGTCCATTAGGCCAAGTGGGACCTAACAAAGCCTAAGACCTCATCACACTTGCGGTCTGAGCCCCTTGGTCAACTTTTCGGGAAGCCTACCTCTCTCTCTTCCTAACATGTTGCTCACTCGACCAGGTCACTCTCTGAAATCGTTTAATCTCCTCAGAGGCCTGATGCCATGCATCACCCTGGCAATGGCCACTCCCAGCCTCCCCAGCCACACCCCTGCATCCCTTCAGAGGCTGGGCTTTCTAGGAGTTGTTCTCCAGACAGACCTGGTGAGGCCTGTCTTAAGTCCCAACAATGCCTAAGATCTCAGCGGCACATCCGCAGAGCCATCTTGGGCCCCCACACGCTAGAACACTCTATAACCATGGTTGCTACAGGCCCAGCAGAGCCAGTGAACTTCAAGCCCTCAGCAGGCTTCCTTCTTAGACACTAGATCATGCCACAGCTCTGGTTAACAAGCGTTAACACCCCCCTGAACATTCATGACATTTACTGGATCCCTACAGCATCAGCCCCTGTAGTGGACACCAAACCAAATGGGCCTAAGAAAGACCCAAGATGGACCTTCTTATTCACAATTATATACATAGCACTTGGCATAGAGCCTGAATACAGTAAGTGCTCAATAAATGATTGTTAAATAAATAAAGGCTTTCACGAAGTCCCTCCCAGGTCCTTCAGTCACTTTTTTAAGGCCAGACATTCTCTAGCAACAGGGCCTGGTGGCACTGTGTTCTCTTCAGAAACCAAACTCCGTGCCTCTATTTGCTAAGGGACGGGAGCCGTCCCTTAGCAACGAGGCTTCATGTGGCCGGGTGGAGCGCAGGGAAGTCTTAAAAGGTTGCAAGCCAATCCCCAAGGCCACATCAGTCATGCAACTGGTTGTGGCAAAGTCTAGTGTGATCTGGGGAGGTCCAAGTCCTACCCATCCTGCCCTAGGGGTAAAACTACTCGGTGTTCTTGTTACAAAGCAGGCTGACACTCTGAGCTTGTCTCCCTTAGAGCCAGAGGCCTTAGATGGGAGGCCACGTGATTTGTGGGCACTTTGTTTTGGTGGCAGAACTCACCCAGAACTTGACCAGGAAGAAGGCGTGAGGGGGCCCGCGATCGTACAGCTCCCGAAGGCCACCCTTTTTCTCAGGGAATTTGTCATAGATCTGCCGGACGTCCACACTCTCGAGGGGGGGCGCTCCAGGGCTGGGGCAGTGCTGGCTGATGTGTACGAACAGGTGCCTCTGGTACTGAGAAGGGTGGGCCGTGGGTGAGGAGTGGGAGATAGGCTGGACCCCGGGTGCTCACTGCCCCCAGCTCCCACTAGCTATTTCACACTGTCCACCCAGACACTGGGCCTGACTCCCAAGCACTGTCGCCATTCCCTTCTGCCGCACCGCACCCCAGTCCCCAAGTCCTGTCCCCTGCTCTCCATCCCCACAGCCCTGTCCTCTCCACCCTCTCCCCATTCTCCTCCCTGGCCTCCCAGCCTCCGATCTCCCCTCTCCAGGTCATCCCTCACACACCCCCAGAGCTGACCGTGGACCTCCCCCGCTCACAATCCTCCTGTGGCTCCCCAGAGCACCCAGGACAAAACCTACAGCCCCCTCAACCTGGCCCTATACTGAATAGGTGCTCCCAAATGTTCGATCAATCGATGGATGGACGGATGGATGGAATCCACATGGCCCATATCAAGACTCCCTATCTGTCCCCATTCTTACCACTTCTTGTCTTGTATTTCTTGTATTCAGAAATCCTCATACCTTTCCCATCTTCTCTGTCATTAGAAATCCTCCCTCCATCCTCCAATGCCCAAGTCTATGCAAATTTGCCTCTTCCTGGAGCCTCACTTGATCACAATCAGATGGGACCTCTCTTTTCTGTAGTTCCCCACCACCCTCAGGAGAAAGTCTAGATCCCTCAGCTTGGCAATGCCAGCTTCTCCCGAACTGGCACCTGCCCACCTGCAGCCTCACCAGCTCCCACACCTTATTTGACTATTTGTTTCCCTGAAAACTTCATGCTGTTTTCATCTC